ACCACAGTGTCAGCCTTGTCAGGATAGGTCTCCCCAGACCGACCCACTGGCTGTGAACATTCTAAACTAACACGAGTCTCATTAAGTGTCCAGTTTATTTATTTACAAGGGAACATGAATCAAATATGTATCTTTATTTATTTACAATAAACTCATAATGTACATCATTCTGATTGAAACTAAGGGCATACAAAACTGTCTAACAGTTCTATTGACACAATATGATCCTGAATCATTTCCCTTACGATGAGGTATTCGATGTCAATGTGCTTCGACCCTATTCTTGTCTTATTCTTTGAAAAAACACGGTAGCAACATTATCACAATAAATCCTCATCGGTTTTTGAATTGAATCCACTATTCGAACACCTGAGATAAAATTACGCAACTATGTGACATGACTGGTTGCTTCATAATACGCTATGAATTCTACTTCCATAGTGGATGAAGCAGCCTTGCGGTTTGTTTTGCACTTTTCCATGAAATAGGTCCTCCCGTCATCATGAAGATATAACCATAGGTAGATGCACAAGTATCCCGACATCTAACAAAGTCGCAATCTTTATACCCTATTACCTCCAAGTTTCCTGAGGGCTTATAAGTGAGCATATAATTCCTAGTCCCTTGCAAATAGCGCATGGCTTTCTTGGCTTCCATCCATTGGTTGATACTAGGATTCTTTTGGTATCTTCCAAGCATGCCAACAATAAATGTTATATCAGGACGGGTGCATACATCTACGTACATAAGAATGTCTCTGTACAGTCTATTCCTTCTTTCTGAGTGTATCATTTTGCAACGAGCCAGGCTTTATATCTTTCAGTGTTCCCCTTAGAATCCTGTTTGGTTTTAGAAACCCGTTTAGAGCCGATTGGCTTGACTCCTTCAGGTAGAACAACGAGATCCCAGACATCATTGCTTTTCATGGATTCTAGATCATCCTTCATGGCTTATAACCAATGAGCTGATTCCATGAGTTAATGGCCTTAGCAAATGATACAGAATCATTTTCCAAATTCAACTCGTGCTCACACTCATTTAAATAGACTTCATAGTCATTTGATAATGCCGATCTCCGAATTCTTTGAGATGTTAATGGGATTTGTTTTACTGGTTTTGTATTTTCAGCGATTTCATTATTCTAGATAACTTGCGCATCAATCTCAAGAGTTTCAATTGGTACAACTCTTTCCTGTATGACTAGTACATGTATGATCACCAAATTTTCTTGAAAGGTGATCTTCTTGGATCCAAAGCTCCCCATTAGAATTCCCAAATTCTAAAAATTCGGCTTGCCTAGATTCACAATTCTAGTATTGAAAGTAGGGCAGAAGAATCTGTAACCCTTAGATCTTTCAGGGTAACCAACAAATAACCATTAATTGTTTTGGGATCTACTTTACCTGATTGCGGATTATGAACTTTTACCTTAATTGGACAACCCCAAACACACAAATACCATAATTTGGGTTTTCTACCAGTCCACAATTCATATGGGATATTAGGGGCTGCTTTAGTAGGAACCTTGTTAAGAATATGTACAGTTGTTTGTAAGGCTTCTCCCCATAAATCTCAGGTAAACTTGAATTACATAGCATACTTCTTACCATGTCCATGAGAGTATGGTTTTGTTGCTCTTCTACTCCATTTGCTCAGGTGTACCTAGCATGGTGTAATTTGCAACAATCCCATGTTCTCATAAAAATAAGGCAAAGACACTTGGATTTTTTCTAGTTTTGGTGCATCTACCATAATATTCACCTCCTCTATCAAATTGTATACTTTTGATATTCTTATTGAGTTGTTTTTCAACTTCTGCCTTCAAAGATCTTGAAAACATCAATTGCCTCTGATTTCACATGAATCAAATACACGAAACTGTATTTGGAGAAATCTTCTATAAAGGAAATGAATTATTTGTGTCCTCCCATAGTAGGAGTAGGGAATGATCCACAAATATCTACGTGTATTGTTTCCATTAACTCTACACATCTTATGGCTCCCCTTTTAGTGGTTTTGGTGAATTTTCCCTTTATACAATCTACACGCATGTCAAAGTCAGAATAATCCAATGAATTAAGGATGCCATCTTTTGTGAGACATTCTATTCTTACTCTAGAAATGTAGGCTAATCTTTTATGCCACAAAATGGATGAATTCTCATTCACTTGGTTTCTTTTATTTTTGATCATATAATCCTCATACAAGCTATATATGGGCCATAAGCAAAAATAGGGTGCAAATTAATCTTGTAAAGATTTTCGCATAACACACCACACCCAACTTCAATGGAATCATGGAATAGAGTGAAATTTTTGTTTTTAAACTTCAATTCAAAGCCAAAGGAATCATGTTCAGGAACTGAAATAAGGTTTATCTTAAATGTACTTACATATAGCGTATCTACTAAGTCTAGATGAAAGTTGGTTTCCAAAATGAGACGATATGTCCCTACGGCTTCAATACCTATCTCTATTCCATTGCCAATGACTATGGTGCATTCTCCCTTGTGTTGTCGTCAACTTGTCAGAAAGCCCTACAAAGAAACCACGACATGAGTTGTAGTGCCTATATCCACCCACCATGTATTAGATGGTTTGCTAACTAGACAGGATTCAGAAAACATAAAGATAAAATTTTTATCTTTTTTGTCGACCCATGTCGCATATTTGGGGCATTCTTTCTTTATGTGTCCCATCTTTTTATATAAGAAGTAGCATGCTTTATGATCCCCTCGTTCTATAGCTACGACCTTTTCTTTGCCCTTCTTTTGACCTTTCCTCTTGAAATGTCACTTATGTGGTCCATTCGTTAGGTCTGCACTTTCAGACATTTCACTTTTAAGCATTTTTTCTTCTTGAACACACATGGCGGTCAGCTCACTCATCTTCCATTTCTCTTTCTGCATATTATAGTTCATCTTAAATGGACCAAATTGTGTAGGAAGAGAAGTCATAATGAAGTGCACAAGGAAACCTTCGGATATTTCTATATCCATTCCTTTAAAATGGTTCACCATGTCAATCATCTTCATAATGTGCTCACGTACCCCACTACGACCATCATATTTCACGGTGATCATTTTGATCATGAGGGTATTTACTAATGCTTTAGTGGAGCCAACAAACTGTTCTTCTATTGCCCTTAAACAATCCATTGTCCTTTCCTTTTCAGGAATTGCATCACGGATTACAGTGGAAATGGTGCTCCTTATGATCATGAGACTCATGCAATTAGGGCATTCCCACTTTTCATAAAGTGCCTTTTGCTCACTAGTACTGGCATCAATGATTTCAGTGGGTTTTTCTGTCCTAATTGCAAGTCCAGATCCATGCACCCTAGAACAATCATAATCTGGTGCTTCCACTTGTTAAAGTTCATACTAGTTAGCATTTCAATGCCAGATAAGTAACCAGTAACCATTGTTGGATTGACAATTGCATGTTTCATAATAAACGCAAAAAAAATGTCATGCCACATAAAACACACACACATATCAATAATCTAACTCAAAATGAGGTAATCATCAATTAGATCTCATCAAGACCATTGCATAATCCTGATTAGGTCTTGACCCAAGATCGGTGTAGGATATCATTCCTCCGTTGGGCTGAATTATAATTCCACAATGATCTCAATGGCCCAAAGTAATTAAGTGATCCTTCCGGTTGGGTAATCTCATAACCGTTGGGTCACAAATTTTCCCAAACAGAACCCCTAATTTAGTCTTTCCATCCCACTCTAACTATTCAAAGTAGCATCATTTCGTTGTGTTAGACCGCTAACCATTGTAGTTAGGTGCAAATACATGACTTATTAATGGAGGAGAGTCTCACAGTCATACCCCAAATAAAGACAATATATATATATATGCACAATAATCATTATCACAGGCCTTTTCAAGTGAGCAAATAGCAAGCATTTCAAAAATTGATAAACAATTATGCAAAACTGCATAAACTAGTAGAATAATTACTAACCATAATGAAATATGCATATCTATAGGTTATTTTTGAAAGAAATTTTGAACAAGAATAGAAAATACGGTCCTCTATGATCCCTCCAAATTTCAGTTCAACCTGAGGTTGGAAACCCCTGAACCAGCCTCCAAAAGTTATCAATATTATAGTGAACCGACGGATCAGTCATTGAATCGGTCCAATATCTCTGTATCCAAAGGAAGTTTTTATCTAAAATTTCATACATAAGAGAGTCCTAGGATCTGGGGGGCCCACAAAATGTCAACAAAATTGGAGTTAAAAAACCCTTGAACTGGCCACACAAATGTGACCTTGTCATAGTATATTGGGTTGAACCAAACTGAACCAGATCCAAACCCAATCGGTTATGACAGCGTTGGCCAAAGCCATGCGAACTCAAATCGATTTAAACCAAAACCCATACCAAACTGGGATTGGACTGGACTAGGCCAAGTCAGACCATAATGGCGTAGCATAAGTTAACCAAGTCGGGTTGGGTATCTAAGTCACCCGACCCTCAAGCTTCATCTTCTTCGCTCGAATCTGGGTGCTACAATGTTCATTTGATTGGCGAACACAGCAGCACCAAACGGGTGTTGAAGGGTGGATAGTCAACGGTGATTGGTCGATATGTTGCCGCTGACCACCCAAGAGTCATATTCCAGCATGAAACCGGCTGGAAATTGTTGGAATCCGGCAATTTTCAGATAAAGTTCTTTTCAAAGCTGAGAAGAAAACAACAAATTTTTAGCTGTTTAAAAAGCATAAAGTGGCTCCGATACCAATTGTTAGCAAGAAAGATGACTTCTAAACATAAAAGAAGCATCATAGGAGCATTCTAAGCTTTAGAAACAAACTGAAATGAAGAACCATAGACCTTAAGCTATTGAGATAAAGATGGCATCCATGGCTCTATTCTGGTGTTAGAGACCTTTAGAAACACCTCTTTGGCATTGTCACCTTCTCTTCTACTCTTCTCTACAAGAAACTGAACCAGAGAACACCTTTCTCCTTGACGAACTGCAAAACTGAAAATAAAGCGCAAGGGAGACTCTTCACTCTAGTCACAGTTGCTCTCAACCAATGGATGGCTAGTGTATGTATGGAATTCTATTTATAGAGCCCAAACCGCCTAGAGAGGGGCCTTCCTTCATGGTTTAGGAGCTAAAACTAGAGTCTCCATCAACCTCTATTTTACAAATCATTAAACTTGAAACCATGCACTCTCTCTCTCTCTCAGTGGGAGCCTTCTAGAAACATATTGCAATTTCAGCAACTAGCTTCAGACACTACTGGGTCCTAGTGTCTGATTCATCTCAAGCCACTATGAACTCTTGGTTGAATGAATTCTAACAATCCCCCACTTGGTTGAGATGAATCTTTCTATTTAACTTAATATGGCCATCAATGACCCAGTATGGTGAACCTAAGGGTATCCATTCCGTTTAGAGTTAGCAAGATTTCATAGTGGCTCGAGGTGAACCAGACACTAGGGACCCAGTAGTGTTTGGAACTAACTGCTGAAATGGCAAGTTGTTTCTAGAAGCCTACCTCAGGATCCCATTGAGAGAGGGAGTGCATGGTTTCAGGTTTAATAGTTTGTACAATAGAGGTTGACAGAGCCTCTGGTTTTGCAGTTCCTTAACAATGAAGGAAGGCCCCTCTCTAGGTGGTTTGGGCTCTATAAATAGAACCCCATATACACGCACTAGCCATCCATTGGTTGAGAGCAACAGTGACTAGAGAGAAGAGTCTCCCTTTAGCTCTATTTTTGGTGTTGTAGTTCAAAAAGGAGAAAGGTGTTCTCTAGTTCGGTTTCTTGTAGAGAAGAGTAGAAGAGAAGGTGTCAAAGGCAAAGAGGTGTTTCTGAAGGTCTCTAACACTGGAATAGAGCCAAGTCTCTAACACCGAAATAGAGCCATGTACACCAACTTTACCTCAATAGCCCAAGGTCGGTGGTTCTTCATTTCACTTCGTTTCTAGAGCTTAGAATGCTCCTATGATGCTTCTTTTATGTTTAGAAGTCATCTTTCTAACTAACAATTGGTACCAAAGCCACTCTAAGCTCTAAAACAGATGAAATTTTATTGTTTTCTTCCTGATTTTGAAAAGAATTTCATATCTGAAAATCACCGGATTCCAGCAATTTTCGGCCAGTTTCTTGCCAGAAAAGGACTCCTGTGTGGTCGACAGTGACATAACAACTATTATTCAACACCCGATCGGTGTTGTTTTGTTCACTCAATCAAATGAACACTATAGCACCCAGATTCAGGTGAAGAAGATGAAGTTTGAGGGTCAGATGCCCTGGATACCCAACCTGACCCGATTAACTTATGCCATGTCATTCCGATTCGATCTGGTCTGACCCAATCTAGTCTGGTCCAACCCGATCGATTAGGGTTTTGGTTTGAATCGGTTCGATTCTGCCCAGATTTGGTTGGTGCTATTAGAACCGGTTTGGTTCAACCCAATAGACCATGACAAGGTTGCATTTGTGTGGCTGGTTCAAGGGGTTTTTGAACTCTGATTTGACTGAAAGTTTGTGGGCCTCCATTATGACCCTCTTATGTATGAAATTTTAGATAAAAACTCCCTTTGGATAAGGAGATATTAGACTGGTTCTATGATTGATCTGTTGTTTTACTATCATACTGATAACTTCTAGAGGCTGGTTTAGGGGGGTTTCGACCTCGAATTGAACTAAAATTTGGAGGGATCATAGAGGACCCTATTTTCAATTTTTGTTCAAAATTTCATTCAAAACTAACCTATAGATATGCACATTTCATTACAATTTAGTGATTGTTCTACTGGTTTTTGCAGTTTTGCATAATTGTTTATCAATTTTTAAAATGTCTACTATTTGCTCTCTTGAAAAGGCATGTGGCAATGATTACTATGCGTATATAAGACTTATATTGTCTTTATTTGGGGTATGATTGAGGTTCTCCTCCATAAATAAGATGCACTTAACTACGATGGGTAACGGATTGGCCCAACGGAAGGATGCTACTTTGAGTAGTTAGAGTGCGATGGAAAAAATAAATAAGGAGTTCTATTTGGGGAAACTCATAACCAACGGTGATGGGCTTACCCAACCGGCATAATCACTTACTTAGTCTGGACCATTGAGATCATTTGTAGAATTATTGTTCAGCCCAACGGAGGAACGATATCCTACATCAATCTTGGGTCAAGACCTAATCAGGATAATGTAACGGTTTTGATGAGATCTAATTGATAATTACCCTATTTTGAATTAGATTATTCATATGTGTGTATGTTTTATGTGGCATGACTTTTTTCTGCATTTATTATGAAACTTGCAGTTGTTAATCCAGCAATGGTTATTGGTTACTTATCTAGCATTGAAATGTTAATTGGTACAAACTTTAACAAGTGGAAGGACCAGATTATGATTGTTCTAGGGTGTATGGATCTAGACCTTGCAATTAGGATAGAAAAAACCCACTAAAATCACTGGTGCCAATACTAGTGAGCAAAAGGCACTTTATGAAAAGTGGAAACACTCTAAACGCAATTCGTGATGCAATTCCTAAGAAAGAAAGTACAATGGATCATTTAAGAGCAGTAAAAGAACACTTTGTTGGCTCCACTAAAACATTAGCGAGTACCCTCATGATCAAAATGATCACCATGAAATATGATCATAGTGGGGAACGTGAGCACATTATGAAGATGATTGACATGGTGAACTAATTAAAAGGAATGGATATTAAAATATCTGAAGGTTTCCTTGTGCATTTCATTATGGCTTCTTTTCCTGCACAATTTAGTCCATTTAAGATCAACTATAATATGCAGAAAGAGAAATGGAAGTTGAGCAAGCTAACCACCATGTGTGTTCAAGAAGAGAAAAGGCTTAAAAGTAAAATGCCTGAAAGTGCATACCTAACCAATGAACCACATAAGAGACACTTTAGGAGGAAAGGTCAAAGGAAGGGCAAAGAAAAAGTTGCAGCTGCAGAAGGCGGGGATCATAAAGCATGCAACTTCTTCTATAAAAGGAAGGGACATGTAAAGAAAGAATGCCCCAAATATGTGACATGGCTCGACAAAAAAAGGTAAGAATTCTATCTTTATGTTTTCTGAATCTTATCTAGTTAGCAAACCTAATACATGGTGGGCGGATACAGACATTACAACTCATGTCGCAGTTTCTCTGTAGGGCCTTTTCACAAGTTGATGACAACATAAGGGAGAATGTACCATAGTTGTTGGCAATGGAATAGAGATAGATTGAATCCGTAGGGATATATCATCTCATTTTGGATAATGGCTTTCATCTAGACTTATTATATACACTATATGTACCTACATTTAAGAGAAACCTTATTTCAGTTCTTAAACTTGTTTCCTTTGGCTTTAAATTTAAGTTTAAGAACAAAAGTTTCACTCTATTCCATGATTCCATTCAAG